AAAGTGTTGGTTTTTGTATTTTGGTGCTAAAAGAGTTGTGTGTTTGACTTTAGCAATTTTGGGAGTTTTGAAAAAACATGGGGAAGATACTTGGAGTTATTTTGGGAGCTGGAATCAATTTTAACAAATTTTTATCAAGTCCTTAGCATGTCATACCTCTATTCTTGTCGGCCTGAGAACATTTGGCTATTTAGATATATTCCTATCAACTGGCAATAACGGGCCCATATATAGTACAAATAGAAGTGAGAACCAACGAGATACCAAAATGAAATGATATTAGAACTTTGGGTCCCAAAGTGTCACAAAAACAATTTTGGCGTGTCAAGGTAAAAAGAAGGGGTGAACTTGGGGCCACTGAGATCCTCTCCTCATCAACAGTTTTTCCTAATATCTCTTCATGCATCTCCATCATTCATTTTGTGGGTGAGTACAAAAGCAAAGAAAGCAAAGGTGGGTCCCACAAAATGAATGGTGAAGATGCACGAGGAGATATTAGGAAACACTATTGATGAGAAGAGGATCCCAATCTAAATATCATCGAGCAGCCATTTTATTTCCACGAGAAGCAAAAGTGCTTCACTCCTATCTTATCCAAAACCCATCGGCAATCTTCCGTCCTTTTTTCTATCTTCCCTGATGGAGAAGCACCCACTCTTCAATCCTCTTTCCTCTCTAAAAATCCCAGCCCTCTCAAAATGCTCGCTTTTGCATTCCAACCCCTGAATCTTTCTCCTTCAAACCCCTCTAAAACCCTAAATTCTAGAACCCCGATCCTAAATACCCAATTCAAGTCCCAGCTTCGAGCTCCTCAAGACAACAAGACGAAAACCCTAACCAACAAGAACCAGACGAAGAAGAAGAAGGAGGTTATCCTCTTCGATTCTAAACCCCCGCCATTGTCAGAATCAAAGAGCTCTATCAATGGCGCTGCCAGAATTGGGGAATTTCCTCTTTCAGGTCTCTTCAAGAGACTTCCAAAGAGAGTTCTTGCGGTCCTCTCTAATCTACCGCTGGCAATTGGAGAGATGTTCACAATTGCGGCCCTCATGGCTCTGGGTATGTTCCCAAGATGCGATTTTTTATTGAATGGTTGGCTGAATGCTTAGTTTTTTGTTCTTGGTTCATGTCTGCAGCAACGGTTATTGATCAAGGAGAAGCTCCTGATTACTATTTTCAGAAGTATCCTGAAAAAAATCCAGTTCTAGGGTTCTTCTCTTGGAGATGGATTCTGGGACTTGGGTTCGATCACATGTTCACATCGCCCGTGTTTTTGGGCATGTTGGTTCTCCTTGCAGCGTCACTGATGGCTTGTACATACAACGACCGGCAGACCCAAATGGTATAAGCCTTGCTAGGAGGTCTGTTATTGGATGCATTTGTGTTAGTTTAAAGGGTTCGACGTGTTGATTTTGTTGGAGTACATTTCTTGTTCTTTATAATGCAGGTGGTCTTTCAAGCATTCAGCTGATTCTATTCGGAAGCTGGAGTTTTCTGACTCTCTTCCACAAGCGTCAGTTCAGGATTTGGGTATAATTCTGATGGGTGCTGGATTTGAGGTAAATTTTCGTTCAGTCTTTCACAGCTTTGAATATACTGGCGCAATTTTTTATCGTAAGCAGGTACACGATATAGAAGCATGATTCTACATATTTCTATCTGGTGCCATGTCCTTTTAAGTAGAATATTTTCAGACTGTTTCCTTATGGCTTTTCTTTATATCTCTTCATTTGATCCCTTCATTTGTATCAATGAACAATTTCTTACTGGTGCTGATTGTCTCCCACATAGAATATTTATGGAGCTCTTCATATGCAATTCAAGTAGTTCACTCTATTTCTCGTTCAAAGTCAGTTTTGTACACGACCCCCGGAATCATCAATTTTAAACTTGATCACGTGACATTTCAAGGAACTTTAGTACTTCACCATTTCATACACCATTCTTTTGTAATGATATTTATCTAATGTTCTATCCTTATTATAAAAGGATACAAGTCTTCTATTGTCCTAGGAATTATTTTAAGCCATCTCGTGTTTTACCTGCTTTCTAGATTCCTTTTATATTTTCCTTGAATTGAACTTCATGCACTCTTTTGATTCTATCTTTTGGAAGAGAAGGGATACCCTCCCATGTTTGGTTCTATACCAGAACTGGACTCTGCCTCTCATGTTTGAACCAGAGCCAGACTCTTGCACACTTGCAATAAGCTTTAACACATTATGTTATAGCGATACTCACCTATCATTTTATTTTAGAGTAAAAGTACATGGGTTTCAGTAAAAGTTATGTTGGAACATAGGTAGCGTTAAATACTATGTTTAAACCAGAAAATCCATGAAAATGTTCCAAAATGTGTTGGAAACTATGTTACCCGGGTACTTTAATCATGAAGCCGTACTGGTAACCGACATGTACCCAACACGTTCCCGTACCCAAACTTCATGGACACTCCTTGAATATGTGCATACATTTATTATGACACGTACCAATTATATGATTCATGTTTTAATTTAAAGCACTCGTCAAACACTTCTTGGGTGTATAGTCTACCCATCACGTCCATTTCTTGAAACTAGTTAGATATAGGTCAGGTTCGTTTCAGCCCATACCCAAGTTCAAAACTATAATGATCTCATGTAAATTTTTAATTTCAATACACGCACACGTAGCTGTGTCCCCCTACCCTATTTTTTACGTATCTGTGGTGTCACCCGCACCCACACCGGTACCCATACTGGTTTCCATGCAACTTAACTCAGAAGACATCACACACATCACCTTGTGATCAGTGTAACTAGGAAACTGATCAAACATGATATTCTCTGTGTCATTTTGTTTAGGTGCAGGAAGTTAGCTTATAGATCGATACTATAGTTACTTACACTTCTGATTTTCTACATGGACATATATAAACATTTTTGTTCCAAGCGTACATGTCTTTCACAAAAGTGCTCAAAATCTTAGTAGTATCTTTGTTAAACTGTACAGGTATTTGTAAAAGGGCCTGCTTTGTATGCTTTCAAGGGAATGGCTGGTCGCTTTGCTCCCATTGGGGTGCATCTAGCAATGCTTCTAGTCATGGGTGGAGCAACTCTTAGTGCTTGTGGAAGCTTTCGAGGCTCTGTAAATGTTCCTCAGGGCCTGAACTTTGTAGTTGGTGATGTCATGACTCCTAATGGCTTTCTTTCTACTCCTATAGAAGCCTTCAACACCGTAGTTCATGTCAACCGATTCTATATGGACTATTATGAGAGTGGTGAGGTAAATGCTTTTTCTATAAGTTCTTGTTTTATTTTCTGACTTCCTTTTGCCTTCCGCTCGTACTCAGGAGACTTGTTTTGTTGTACTTACAATGTTCATGCTTTCTTAAGGTCTTTCTTTTCTCAAGGGAAAAACTCATTATTTTTTGTTCGATGGCAGCTTATTCTCTGTCAAATGCTTCATATTTCCTCTCCCTTTTTAGACATCGTGTTAACAATTTTATGTCAATTCCCCAGGTTTCACAATTTCACACTGACTTGTCATTATTTGACCTTAATGGGAAGGAAGTCATGAGGAAAACAATTAGTGTTAATGATCCTCTGAGATATGGTGGGATTACAATTTATCAAACGGATTGGGGTTTTTCAGCACTCCAAGTGACAAAGAATGGTGAGGGTCCATTCAATTTGGCTGTGGCTCCTTTACAAATAAATGGTGACAAGAAGCTCTATGGGACCTTTCTGCCTGTTGCAGATGATGATTCCTCTAGTGTGAAGGGAATGTATGTCAATGTTCTTCCTTGTTGCATTTTTTTTCAGGGTGATAACCAATAATCTCTTATTCTTTCAACTTTCAGATCAATGCTTGCTCGTGATTTACAATCAATTGTCTTGTATGATCAAGAGGGGAAATTTGCAGGGGTGCGCCGACCTTCTTCAAAACTTCCAATCGATATTGATGGTATAAGAATTGTGATAGAAGATGCAATTGGCAGTAGTGGTCTTGATCTAAAGGTGATAACAACAACTACATTTCTTGGAGTGCCTTGATCTTTCTATATTCAACGTCTACCATTATTGTCTGCTATTATGATTAATATCTCATTATTCTTTATTGCAGACGGATCCTGGAGTGCCTGTAGTCTATGCTGGGTTTGGTGCTTTGATGCTTACTACTTGCATCAGCTATTTATCTCATTCTCAGGTGATATATATAACATTGTTTTAGTAGCGTATGAATATGTTCATTAGTACAGATTAATCTTAATGGCCTCGGTGTCCTTTGTAGATATGGGCATTGCAAGATGGAACCACTGTTGTTATTGGAGGGAAGACTAACCGAGCCAAGCTTGAGTTCCCTGATGAGATGAATCGCTTACTTGATGAAGTACCTGAGCTAGTTGGCAGCAGCGATAGCGTGACGAGCTAATATGTTTTCTTCTCAGTTCTCCACTTTCATACAGTTCAAAGTTGATTAATGACAACTTTTGGGATGGTTGAGGTTGAAGGAGATAGACAGCAAGAGTTAGATCGACAGTTGCATTTCTGAGATTAAGGGCTTGAACTCCAACGGGGTAACATTCTAACATCCAAAACAAACTTTCCAAGTTCGAACTTTTGTTAAAAAAAGAAATCCAGATTTAGAGAATTTTTATCATGTTCATGCAAAAGCCTTCCAAGAAACAATTCTATTTCTGTATGTTACTAATATTGGTTATTTTTCTAAAGGCTTCAGAAGAGTTTTCTATTCACTTGCTATTAAAAAAAGAGTTAATTCTCAATATTTTAACTCTCTGCAGATTGAAGTCTAGGCCAAGGCTAGGGTTACAACGAGGGAGCTCAAAGGAAATTAGACACAGCTAAAAAAAACCATTATGGGGTTTAATGTAAATTTATGAACGCACACTGTCTGAAAGAAGTATAGCCCACTGTAAAATGAAAAACCAAGTAAACACCCTGTTAAACATTTTTTTACTGTATACATAGACACTTTAAAAGCATCTCTGATATATTGTAAAGAATATGTTCTATAAAACTATTAATTCTCTTCTGAGATCCTGTGCATATTTTCCATTGGGGATCAAGTCTATTTTCTTTTCTATTTTTATTTGCTGCACATTGGCATACCATTAGACAACTCTGTGTCCTCATCTCGTACTTAACCATAATCTCTCTCCTCTCCTGATAAAAAAATAAAAATAATAGTAAATGGAACTGTGGCTCTCGAAGTATTTAGTGAGCTTAGGGAGCTATATAAATATAATCAAGAGAGCTTAAATTTGGTTGCTAACTGGGTCTTAAGAAAATTATTGAATGGAGAAGTTGGGTTGCCAAGGGCTGCATGAAAGCAAGAAAAGGTGGGCTTCTGGTTTAGTACATGGGTAAATTACACTAAACCCTGAAGAACTCCACCCCCGATAACTTCCAAAATCACATTAAATCCCCAATAACTTTTGCTGAAAAGCTGCAATTATCTTTTGGGTTACTTGCACTAAACCTCCAAGAACTTCCAAAATGTATTTTAATTTTTTTTTGGTTCTAATTTATAGGAGCTATCTGCAAATGCAGAAACTTACTAGGGGTTTTTTCTGCAATTCCAAAAGTTATTGAGAGTTCACTGCAGAACGCTGAAAGTTTTGGAAGTTTAGTGCAGTTCACCCTTAATATATTATCTACCTGCCTGGTCTACCTTAGAATTGTTCTGTTCCATGAATATCATGATCAAACATAAAATTAAGCATAACCAAAATTTGTTTAAATAACTATTAAAAATAGCCCCATTTCCGCTGGCCACAGCTTGATCATCTGACACTCAGCCTGGAGGTTTGGTATTTCATTGCAGTGATAAGGTTGATGGAATGCTAAAAATTTCTGAAATTTGAAGTTTATGATAAGTGAGCCCCATTTTCGTCATATTTCAAGTCAATAATCAAAACCCTTTTTACTTTTTCTCGTTTAAAACAGTAAGCCTCAATTCCGACATGTATTTACAGAGACCCATACATGGTAAACATTATGGGTTCAAGCCATCATCAATCCTTAATCTATATAAGCTATATCATATTTGATTGGTCTGGCTCATATCTCATATTGTAGATTACGCAGTAAACGTAAAAAAATGCACTCCCACAAATTACCGAGCATACGCTGAGTAAAACCTATGTACTATGTTGTGTTACCGTCATCAACTAATAACAACATAATTTTATGCACTATAACTTTTATTTCCTC